ATAGCATTATTTTACCTTATACAGTGTAGATGGAGATTGATTCTCTGGGCCTGTTTTTTTACACCTTTGAAATCAAGACATGTCCTACTTTATATTTCCAGACATGTAATGCATTTATATTTGTAAAACAATTTGAGATCCTTGTATGAAAGTTGAAAAACTATAAAATTATTGAGGAAAGTCGTTTATTGTGAATGGAACCTGTGTAAGTTCCATTTTGGTAATAAATGTATCCACTAGAATCTGCTGTGTAGCTGTTTTTTATTCCCATATCTTCAAGTAACTGAAACAGTAGATGAGACAATTTCGATCTCCCTATACTCCAAAGGCAAATATCCTGCTGACTAAAAGTCTTACTGCATTGCTTGTCACAGTCCAGCATAGAATACATAAATATCTTCAGTGGTATATTAATCTTGCTGCCAAAATACGCTGTTTTTATCAAGTGCTGGCATACTAGATGAATTATTTGTAAAGGTAATGTTAGGATCCAGATTTAAGATTTTTGCTTAAGGCTGTTAAGTCTTCATAACTGGTAGTGACTTCATTTTTTAGCAACCTCATGAGATTTATACAGTCTTGTGTGAGGTTCGTTTGAGATTTTGGTAGCATGGAAGGGAGAACAGATAGAGTCTATGGGGGGTTAACCTCAACCTCAGTGACTAAATTAATTGTTCACCAAAACTTCTGAATACTTCATGATGTGGTGATCTTCCAGTATATGGCTACCTATATAAAGATAAAAAACCATGTATTTTAAAAATTTACAATATCATGGCCTTCCTGTGCTATCATATGGCAGAGCAAATTTTATTTCTATAACTTATATGAAATTAGCCACATTTATTTTGGAAAAACTCACTTGCATGATGTAGTGTTTTCATCAGGGATGGCTTAGAGTGTTAAGGCATATCATTTCAAGTGATTGAAGGCAACAAGCAATTTAAAAACTAATAAACACTACCTAGTGAAAGATACTGATGTCATTTTTTAAAAAAATCTATAAGGAAATGCATGTAGGTAGGTACATTTAGCCTAGAAATTCATACTGTTGGTCTGAGCAGAATGGAATACAGGTTTGTTTGGTGTTTTTTGGCTTGTCTGTGAGAGTACATATGCAAGTTAAAAGTTGACTTTTCAAATTATGTATGAAAAAAAATGTTGAGGATATGAATCTAAGGAACATAAAAGATGTAAGGAGAGCCTATAACCTCTAGAGAGCCTTACAAAATGTCTTCTGGAAAGCATAATGTGCCAAAGAATTACTAACTAGAAACAAGAGGCATTGTTTCAAAGCCCAATAGCAGCATTTGTCATTCACTTCAGGTACATATTTTCACGCAGGCTTTTTATTTGTTTCCAGAGAAAGAGAAATGTCTGACTGGCTTACGCAAACATACCAGCCGAACACCAGCTCTACTCTGATATTTTTTGAAAGATGCTATTGTCTGCATCAGTTTGGAAATTACTTTTTTGAGAGAGCCTACCCATAAAGATAGGTTCTGCACATCACCAGATCCTCTAGCATGACTGTGCTGTTAATTTCCTTATCTAGATTTTAGAATATTCCTTCCGTGTGAAGATGGCAGTCACTTGACAAAAAGCAAATAGTAAGGGTAAGGGAATATAGAATGTGTCTGTCACTAAGGAGACTAGGCTACCCAACTAGTCAACATTATAACAAAATATATAAAATATATTTTTAAAACTCTCTGCTCTCCAAGGTAGAGCTTAGAAGTTATGTATTACTTAAACTTATAGTACAAAATCTAAGTATAAACAGTGGATGCATACATGCATATGAGGAATTGATTTGGCAACAGACACACACACACTTGCAAATGGGACCAACCACTCAGGAAAAAAAGATAATTCTTTACACTTCAGAAAGTATTTTTTTAAGAATGCAGCCGAGAAGTTTCATTCTGAAAAAAATAGTATTATGCAAACACTGTTAACACTGTTGTATATATTGAGGACCTAAAAATGAGGACAAAGACAGAAATAGTACCAGGTTTGGGTAGAAGAAATGAGAGAATATTGTGAGGAACTTCAGAAAGACTTGGATAAGCTATGCAAATGAGTATCACTAGAGTGCATGGAATTCAATGTTGATATGGTTCAATGTTGGCGGATGGGATGGGCACCCTGGTTACAAATAACACAGAAAAAGCAGAGTTGCTGAATGCCTTCTTTGCTTCGGTGTTTACCAAGGGCAGCCTTTTAAAGTCCCAAGCCCTAGGGACAAGAGAAGAAGCCAGTGGAGAGGAAGACCTGCCCTGGGTAGAGGAAGATTGGGTCAGAGAGCACCTAAGGAACCTCGATACCCACAAATCCATGGGCCCTGATGGGATGCACCCCAGAGTGCTGCGGGAGCTGGCAGAGGTCATAGCTAAGCCGCTCTCCATCATCTTTGAAAGATCCTGGAGAACGGGGGAGGTGCCGGAAGACTGGAAGAAGGCCAATGCCACGCCAGTCTTCAAAAAAGGCAAGAAGGAGGACCCAGCCA